CCATGTCCATTTGCTTATCAACAGAAACAGGGGAAGTGGAAGAAAGTAGGTGACCAATGGTGACGACCATAGAAGAACCATACTGGATTGAGAAATCTTAACGATTCTGATGCACTGACACATCTTTGTGCTTAGATTTGTTGAGTAATATATGCTAATTTGTTTACATTGAGTGAGTGCCCACATTTCAGATTTGCATATCAATAAATCCAGAAAACTACTGGAGTAAACTCTTTCAAACTGCACTATTTGATATGGTTCAGGATCACCTTTTTATGTTTGAGTTTATTCTTTGCAATAGGTGCCTTTAATTCCGTGTCATTTTCTCAGCTTGGGTAATATTTTTCCTCTTCCTTTGCTTTTTGAAACAAATTAAAATATTGGTGCTGTCAACAAACTGCCCACATGTGCTCTAAAATCAGATTAAACCTTGAGAATATGTTTTTTAATTAATGTGAAGAACATGATACATACATCAGGGTGAGATCTCTCTGATCGCAGCATAATGCTGCTCTGTGTGCACATACAGTATAATCCTCTGTTTGCACCAGTGCATGTGTGCATTATCATCCTCTTATCTGTGGCTGATTGCGTCTCCTCCCCCTACCCCCCCAGCTGGATGTGCAGGCTGGTGGTCTGTCAAGATGCTGAACCTACTGACCTCCCGGCTTCATGGCTCCCAGAGAGATGAGGTCTCCTCATGTGGCTGCTGGCCAGTCGCGCTCAAAGCTCACCATTCACCGCTAATCGTGTTTTTTCTGTGTGAGGGAGATGGAGGACAGACACATTTGTAAAATTATAGTAAAATTAATTCTGTGTGTGTGTTTGTGTGGACACGTTTATGCATTTCTGTGTGCGTTTGAATATCTTTGTTTTTTTTTTCTGCTTCTGGGCCGTGAAGATGTGAAAAGCTTTGAGGAGACGTGTTCATGTGAGCATGGTGAGAAGGAGCAGTGAACCCTGAAGCGCTGGGATCAATGGAGGCTTGGCTTCATTCAGCAACATTTGGATACACCATGCAGGGAATTATTTGATATAAATCAGAATCATTTATTCACATTCATATTCAGAGAATGCTGCTAAGTCCATATTTTTATCACCTGCCACGTAAAGTTCAATGTGGATGGTTGTATTTTTGACTGTTTGTGTGACTGTTAGCAAAATATCTCATGACCCATTGAAGAATTTTTGTTCGCATGTGCAGAAAATAATCACTGAATGTACCTGACTGATTGATTATTATTTAGTTCCAATCAATTCAAGATGGCTGCCACAGCCAGTTAACCTTAGAGAACACAAAGCTTTAACTCAATATCACAAATATTGTTCTAACTTTAGGTGCGTTAGTGGCTGTAAGTCATTCACAAAACATACTTCAAGTGCAAGATCTTTGTTGAAACAGTACCATTAACTATTTGAGTCAACGTTGTTTGTCTGTTAGCAAAACATCTCATGAACAACTGGACAGATTTTATTAATACTTGGATATATCTCTATGACTGATAAAATTTTGGAATCAGTGCAATTTAAAATAGGTGCTACAAACCAACACACAAATGGCTGTAATGTAGTCAATTTTATAATTATTGAGCTAAACTTTGATCCGATAGTAACTGAGAGTCATTCACAACTCATACTCCAAAGGGGTTCTCAAACTTTTTGGGTTCATGGACCCCTTATAGGGGAGCAAAAAACTTCAGGGACCCCCTCGTAACCCTCATACTTATTATTTTCTTCAGTACGTCTCTTTAATGCAATAGAAATAGTTGTGCAACATAAATACTTAAGACCTGTTCTTTAATAGTGTTAATACAATTTTTATACTTTTAAACATGGGGTATTTTTCATTCAACACACACAATTTACAACATTTTTAATTTCAGCTTCCAAAAATGACATTTTTGAGAAAATTAACAATTAATAATTAATTATTAATTATTATTAATTAATTAATTATTAAAAATTAATAATTATCACACAATCAACATAATAAATGTGTTATCACTTCTTCAAATTATTACAGAAAACTCTACATAAAATCTCCTGATGCATGCTCAATAATCCAGGTAGAAAATCTGAATAAAACCTGAACAGAATCATAACAGCAGCAGTCATACCAAGTAACAGGGCTTCATTTGTAAACCGATCCATGCCAGAACTCAAATAGTGGGCGGGGTGGGGGTCCTCCCCTACAAAATTTTGAATAAAATAGATGCGAGTTCCTGCATTTTGATGTTTTTTAGCAGGTCGTTAAACATCTACGTGCTTGTAAAAAACACACACAAATTTTTTCTTTTTTTTTTGCCCTATAAGTTGCGGGTTTTTTTTTCATAATTTGCATGCCCTGCAACTTATAGGCGGAAACGATGCATTTATGGATTTTTTCCCATATTTATAAACCAATTTTTGGCTGAAATATGACCGTTTTCATTCATTCAGACTGGAAAAATTTTGAACACTACCATTTTTCAGCCACTAGATGACACCGGTAAGGCATGCCATTGTATCATGTAATAGGTAAAAGTGGCTATTAATGACAAATTCAAAAAAGTTCAAGACAATAACAACTGGACTTTATTTATTATACATTACTTTACACTTTATTGTTTTTGTCTTGAACTTTTTTGCATTTATCATGTCCTGGATGACAGAATCTTCACCAGCTATTAATGACACAGTCGGCTTGCCTTAGCCTGCCACCGTCGTTCTGCTCACTGCTTGGAGCAACCATCAAATTAGCTTAATTTCGCTGCATCGCCCCGGCGAAATACAGCTAATTTGACCATTAAAGTGCATTTATTAAGTAAACGCTCAACTGAGACACACTGCCATAATTTTGATTAAAGAAATAATTGTTTTAGGTGCTTTTCTTGTTAAATTTCGAAGAAACGCGCTCGTCCCTCTGCGCGTTCCTACTTCCGCGTATCGGCTTTTAAAATGGAGCTGATTTGACCATCAGCAGTGACGCATAATAGATGAGACATATACGGCAAAGCAACATATTTATGGATTTTTCTACTTTATTAGACATATTTGGACTGATGCAACTTATAGGACAGAGCAACGTTTACAGCGAAAAATATGGTACACACACACACACTCACACACACATTATATATATATATATA